TGACAGTACAAAAATATTATTTTTTATAAATATTTATGAATTGCTCGTTATTATTATCACATTTCCTGGTTAGATACTTTTTACTAGATAGCGAAGTGTCAGTAAACTGTTCACCTTAGCAAAATGGGTCTGAAATATTCTGTCACTTTATAACAAATTACGATTAGCAAAAAACATTGTAATATACTATTTTTATTTAAAACTTCACTACTATCAACCAAAAATTCTCAGAGCTCTCAACTTTTCCATTTCCACTTAACCTAAAGGATTTAAACTCCGCTAAGTTATTCGTCGTCACTTTAAAAACTCGAATACTCAGCTTAAGCTATTTTTTAAACGTACTGAGCTATCCTAAATGGCATATTTATCGTCCGCCGTCAGGCACACTGAACGGGCGCAGACACTCATAAAAAGCACATAAAGTGTTTGACGAATTTGCATGAGCTCTGTTTCTATTGAATTCTAAACCAAATTGTCGTTGTAAAATGCGCTTTTTCCTCTATAGTCGAGGTCTTACGCTGTACAAACGATGCTTGCTTGTGAAGCAGCAAATCGTACGAACAGTATTGAATGGAGCTCTGTGATTTTGTTCGTGTTCGGGCGTCAAAGTTATAAATTAATAACATCTTTCTCATTTTCTTACGTGTAAGTACTTACTAGGCTTAACAAATATGCTGAAACCTTGAAAGGCCTGAATATTTACTTCAAAGACCTCTCATAATATCTTAGCTTGAATCTGAATTCTGAGTTTGAATTTGAGACTTGCGTCATTTCCTATTTTGGAACTCAAGTTTAATTCAGTGTGACATGTTTAAAAATACTTTGTGATTCAGTTATTCGAATATCAATAGGACAGATGTATTCGGTATGCGCATAATATCGGGTTAGTTCTAAATAAGCTGGTTTAAGTGAAACATTGTTAAACAAATAAATTAAAATAAAATAAAAGTATAAAGATTGTTATGCACAAAATATTCAAGAATATAATATGAAGTTCAAGTACTTATTGATAGATTTCCATTATGAGGCCATACGGGATCATCGCATTCTTGTCACAGATCAAATATCGTGTTCAAGTATATTCACACTTGCGAAAGTAAGCAAATACACACTGCTTTGTGTTTGACAATAAAAATCCATTCACTCCTAGGTGTGAAAATTCACATAAATACTATCATCATACCCAAACTGTTTGCTATTTTGTGCCTCTAATACTAAAGTTCAAAATGGAGTCTGTAATTGATTCAACATAATACTTACAAAATGTCAAATTAATGTAAACTTATCGCAACAAACAATCGCGGCAATGTGAATATTTGCATGAGATTTTGTATTTTTATCCAATGTTTTCTTTCGAAGCATTGAAAGACAAAAGCAGACACTACAGGATTTTTTTCATTCAATTATTATAATTAAGTTACACAATAAAATAGCTCTGAATTTGAGTTTTCTTTCGTCCTAACAAACTTTGTTGAATCCACAATCCTAACCATGTCTTACCCTAACCATACTTTGGTAGAAATAAGACTACTTTTTCTGAACTAATCTATTAGAGTTAGACTTAAATTATAATAACTACGTAGGTACCTGTGACTGCCTGTAGCTGACAGTAGTAAATATAAAGTACTAAAACGTACCCTTCTAAATGTTTACTAATAAAACTTAAAAGGGTTCACATTTCACTTCCAAATAAAACCATACACTCAAATGTACGACCTTCCAGTTACAGGGCTGATATTAGCGTATGGACGCCCCAAAATTAGATAACAATTTTCGGGTACAGTCACGCGTAATAAACTCAAACTCCAATTAGCGTTTTAGAACGCCGCACACTTAGCCACTAATCGCTACACTTTCTTGCTTTCTTATTGTGCTGGCGGCTGAGTGGCCCGTCCAAGACACTCGTACAAGCACCAAAGAACTTGTGGCGGCTGCTTGCTACTAGTAATGGTGAAGTGTGCGGCGCTTAGTACTGCCGTGTACTTTATAAGTGGCTTTTATAAAACGCAGGCATAAGTAGTTAGATACTCGTAAGGCAACGCACTGAATGCTGCAACTAGTAGCGGACTGTAATCATCGTGCGTAATTTCTTGGGGATGCGAAGTTTTTGACTGATTTCGGTGCATTTAACTCGTACCTAATAAATTACCATAGTTAATGCATGAAATACTGTCTAGTATGAGCGACGCAATACAGTAACAAGTTGCAGGGCAATTTCAGTTTACTTTGATTCCTAAGATATAAAAATGCATTGCCTTTTGTGGCGGCTTGTAGTGGCCAAGTGTGCGGCAGCGTCATAAGGAGTTTACCGTAAATAGTACAGTCAACAGCAAATCTGACAATACATTTTGTTGCATATCAGCACTTGTTACCACTACATAAGATGCAACTGTTCAAGTTAATGTGCTCATTCGTACTTACACCGCCGAATTCATATAAACAATAACTCTGCCTAACACGTGCTACGCCGAGTGCGAAAACGTAGCGGGGTGTTAGCTTAATGAACTCATAACGGCTGATTTAATATCGGGCTGGTTACATTAGCGTTAGAATGAAACCGAGTTTAGTCAGCTGTAGTTATGGAAGGAGACACACGAATGCTACGGATTGTTAACAATCGTACAAACTCTACCCTGATAACCTATAGTTTATTTGAACTGATAAAAGATAAAAAAAAAAAAAAAAAACTGTAACCCAACTACCAAAACAAATCCGTTTCGTTCGACTCGTTCTGATAAAATTAAATGCACGTTCACATTAAAAAGTCGATTCAAACTAGCAAACAAAGACGGATTTAGGACGATTAGATGATTTAATCAAGATACTCATTTTTTAAACATGAGACTTCATCCAGGATGTTAGTGTCAGAATAATTTTTATCAATACCCATATTATTTTAGTTACGGAGTCAAGAGGTAACATAGTTTTCGTACACAGAGTATAGATAGCCTATATTATCCTAAGTCTTAAGGGCAAGTATAATTTTTTTCTTCTCCAGTCCTACCTACAGAGCTGGATGCAAGGCGCTACTATCTGAATCATTAGGGTTTGCTCATCATCATAGGGGTGTCATTCAGCAGTGACTGAGATGACGATGAGAGAGAGACATTTTATAGTCTTATCAAAAACTTTAGACCTAGGGTGCTACTTAAAAAACAACGCGCTGTCTAAACTCAGGAACCGTGTGTGCGAAGCCACGGAGAATTCCAAATAGCGGGCCAATTTAACAAGGAAGCACTATAATTATGTACATAACACTAATCCGTTTAACGTTTATGTACCAGGCCATTGTCATAGAGAATTCTAAACCGACTATTACGCGAATCAGTTTGATTGATCTTAGTAATCAATCTCATTAGATATGTTAATGATACAACAACAAGGGTATAATATGCTTAACCTTTGTGCGTGTGTTGTTAAGTTGGATTTGTGTAAGCTGTGATTATGTTGATATCAATGAAGTACAAGGCACGTGATGTGAAACAGTTCGCCTGCAAAATTCGACTTTATTTTCGTGAAATAAGGATCAAATCAGATCAACTAACCATCTATTTTTTAATTCAGATAATCTATCTATATCTATACTTATAATAAATCTGTAGAGAGGTCAATTCTGTACATGAAATATATTTTCAAAATAACTATTTAAGGGTGATTAGTGATCGATACTGATGCCAAAAATGCAATCAGTAAAATTTTTGTCTGTCTGTCTGTATGTTCCTTATAGAAACAAAAACTGCTAGACGGATTTTAACGAAACTTGGTACAATTATTCTTCATACTCCTGGGCAGGTTATAGTATACTTAGGAATGCCCACGGGAACGGGAATTAGCGGGAAAATCCTTTTGTATGAAAAATCTGAACCGCTTAAGTTAGACGCTTGAAATTTGGCATGCAGGTACCTTAGTAAAGGACATTGTCAGAAACCGCCTTAGATTCCTGGGCACAGCAGTAAAGTATCAAAATTAATCTCTTACTTTTTGANTACAATTTGGCTGCGACAACTACAATACAGAACATCTCCCAAATCGATGTGCATAAAATAATATAATACAATACTAGTAAGTAAGAGGTTATGATAACAATATTGCTATCAATAAGTTTATAGAATTGGTCCGCCAGGAATAATTGTTCTTACATAAAGATTTGTGTCATTTAGAACCTAGAAAGTATTATTTCGGCACTGTTGATCTAACGGCGAACAATGTATGGAGAACGAACATTGTCCTTTAAAGCTTAGTTACAACAGGATATTGCAAAATTCCCACGGGAACGGGAGTTAGCGGGAGAAAAAATTTGTATGAAAAAATCTAAACCTCGTAAGATAGATGAATTGGGTAAAACGGGATCCACGCGAACGAAGTCGCGGGCGGCCGCTAGTAAAAACTAAAATTGTTAACATTTCTTAAACATAGGTTACTCATAGGCTAATGAAAAATGGGAGACAACTCACAAAGAAATGTTAACACCACAAATAACAAATTGCTTCTATCACGATATTTGACTTTGACTATATTTTACATATTTTTTCGAACACCTAGAATATTTTACAGAATACAGACTGATGTGGGTTACGAGCTGTAGAGTTCGACATCGCACAAAGCAAAACTGGATTGAAAGCAAACAAAAGATGAGCAGGTGAAAGAAACGTAATTTCACTCGGGACTGTGAATGAATCAAAGTTTCCTTATAAAATTAATAACATAGAAGCAGAGGATTTAATAGTGACTGATAGAATCTTGACCTGTTAAGGTTAAAGTTAAGGTAGTGTAACTTAGCTTTTAAATAAAGGCAGATTTATTTTGAAATGACTGTGCTCAAAGATAACTAAGGCGAAACAACTCATCAAGACGATGTTCTTTTAAATCTTTAAAATTCCTGGTGTGGCATAATAATAATAATCTATCAAATGTAGGGAGCAAGTGGGTGTCAACCAGGACGGACAATATTTTTTTACTAGGAATATTATTAAGTATTTATGAAAATAATTATTTCTTACCTCAGCTGCCGTAGTTTCCTCAATCTCACTTCTTCCCATAAACAAAGTGTCATCCGTGTCCAGATAAATTTCTCCAACTGGTCCCGAAAGCTTTTCAGTGTTGATCTCCAAGCAATCAGCGTATAACTTTACACTGTTTTCTTTCACATAAAACAGTAGTTGTGTCCATATTCCTTCTTTGACGATACGATTTACGAAATTTACTTCGCCCTTCGGTAGATGCTTGCTTTTGAGAGATATTGTGACTACGTCTGAATTGACTGGCGTGAAACACAATGCTAGTGTCATATCCTTGTCGTTCTCAATCGAAAATAGGCATGTTTTCTTGAAAACATCCAATCTGAATTCCACGGTTAGGGCGAAAGGTTGCGTTATTGTGTTACCGCTGGATGGTAACAGGCCAACATTTACAGCGATTGACGTCGTTTCGTCATTGAGGGTCAAATCATCGGTAGGTAAACCACGATTATCTTCGTACTCAAAAAAAATGTTGTAAACGTCTGAAAAAGAAAAAAAAAGTTGTATTTTGGTTAAAGTAATCATAAAAAATGTTCATAAAAAAAGAAAATACAATCTGAATATTTTTGTGTGTGTTGTTGAAGTGATTTTTACGAAACCTTATTCTATTTTTAAGTCCCAAAGCAACCTCAATCGAAACTTTAAAATTAGGTCAATTTTTTGGGCATAAACATCTCCATTTACACGAATTTCTTATCTATTGCTATTTGTCAAAGTGGAGGCAAACAAATTGCTGAATTAGCAGCGCCTCCCTACTGTAGAGGTGCGTTTAGACAAGTTTGCTGTTTGTTTGTTGTTTCAATCATTTAAATCACCTGTACATATACTTTAAAATAGGCATGTTTAATGTACAGGTGATCTAACAGCACATACACTTTATATTAATATATACGACAGAATATTTATTATAATAAACCAAATTAAAATTTTTAATGTCGTAAGCGACAGACATAATTTATGACAATAATTTTAATTTATGCGATAATTTCCTAGTATCCTCATGACAATATTGTTTACATCGTCTAGATAGTCTAGACAGTTTTTTCAAGAAGTCTTTAAGTTATAAATTAAGCTTATTTAAAACCTTCGGGTGTATAATAACACAATGTAGATTTGAGACATCGAATTTATTGGAACGCGAAAGTAAAAATTGTATAAATGTAGATATTACGTCTTAAAGACCAACCGGCTAATCTTTAAATCATTGGGGTGACACCTATGTTTAGGAGTGGACGTGTGTGTGGCTAAAATAATGATGATCTCATAGAGTAAAAAGTCGAAAGAGATAAACTGAATTTCTTTGCGCTGCAGCGCTGTTTCCCAAATGGCTTATTTATTGTCCCGAAGCAACTAACCTACTGGTTAAGGTAATACTGAAACGTGTGAAAAAGCTTTTTAAAAGCTACTAACATAATAAATGAACTTGAATTTGACTATAAGGTAATAAACCGTGTACCACATAATTCAGTGATAATCTAAACGAGGCTCCAAGACGCGCCTTTATATTAGCAGAAGCTGTTTTACTAATCTTGATCGAGTACTAATGGCGTCAGTCACGGTAGCTCTTCACTCCAATACAGTTGGTGTTAACAAACACGCCTCTGAACAATCTTCGAGTATCACGAAAGCATTAATACAAAACATTGTTGGTGTTTACGTCACTTTGAGTATTTAATTTTATGCGTGCCTAAGGGCCACTGTATCAATGCAGCTTCACGATTAGGCGACTTCATGCGTTTTAGCGACTGCTGTCACTGCGCCGAACTTCCGAAAAGCGTCTCAATCGCCACGTTTGGCGTTTTTAGGTGTGTGGTCGCTGCATACAGCTACTAAAAACGGCTTAATCACCCATCGCCGATGTTAATAATAGCAGTGTGCTGTGTCTATAATAAAAAAGAATAAGTAAAGATAGAGCGTACCAGGCACTGATTCGTTTCAGCCGAATGACGTCTACTGCTGGACAAAAGCCTCCCCAAGGATTTCCACAAAGACCGGTCCTGCGCCTCCTCGCATCTTAGTTTATAGTGATATTGACATCAATATTACTGACATTTCTTTCTTCGGTAAATCTCCCCGCATACAAATAGACGTGTCGCACTCAAGCTGTAAATTTTTCTTCATTCCAACCACCACACTGTCAGTATGTATTAAAGTAGTAATTATATTATTTCAATGTAACTGACAGTGGCTGATGTAACTTATTTGCAGATAGAAAGTAATCTTGAATTTCGGTGATTTTTGATTTACTTCAATTTGAGAATCATGTTACAATAGAGCTTAAAAGGCTTAAAAGCTTAAACAGAGCTTAATCCTTTAAATAGAGTTTCCAAACCGAAACAAAACACGTTTTCACTTTACAGAGACGTAATCTCAGAAAAAAAAAGAATTAATCAGTAAATCGTAGGCGTGAAAATACGGCAACTTTTAAATTGCTTAAATTCTTTGATAAACGAAGTGATACTTAAAGATTGTATTTATAAGCTTAATCCAGATTCTGTCTTTTCCATTTGTGAAAACCTACAAATACTAAAAAGCGCTTACCTTCTGATTGACAGTTTACTGTTTGCAGCCACGAATAAATAATTATGTACCTGAAAAGAAACAAACATGATTTAATATTACCTGAATAAATTAAATACTACCTACTTAAAGGGTCAATATTAAATAAATTATAATTTCATTTAAACTGTTTATTTTTCCTACTTAATTAACAAATAAATCTAAATTGAATATTTGGAATTAAGAATAATCAGAAATAATATAAAATTGTAATAAGTAATTTTGTCACTTAAGTATCTCTGTAAATTATGTTCCTTTCGTACTAGTAGTAGCCAGAGCGGTTAGAGTTAACAAAATAATGGAGATTTTTTTAAAAGTTACAACTGAGCTTTATACAAACACGTGCTATGAAGAAATACATTATCCCCAATTATTATGTTATATGTCTAATTGTCTATTCTTCTATGTGCAAAGAAGAATGCTTTCTTAAACAATTTCCTCTCGGTTGTTTCATGTATACAGTGTGTCCGGGCATGTAGTGATCAAACTTTAAGGGCGTAATCTATGGACAATTTTATCGGTGAAAATACTTTAAATTTGGGGCTTGACCCATTTCTCGCATATTTACAAGGATTTAAGTTTTTAAATTTAAGTTTTCACCTCTTCCTTCAAAAACAAGTGATAGCGTGGGTAGTTTAACATTAATAAGCAAAAATTTTATATCATGCGATAGCCAATAAAATTATCTATTAGTAGAAGTAGAAAACAGATACAAGTTTCATACATTTTAAGGGTGTAAGAATGGATTTCATTAGAAATAAACATGACTTTTTTCACATCTTTTTCAGTTATTTCCCAACACAAGAAAAACTAGGTCGTTAAGGTATGTTTTATTTGCATTGTATTATTAGTATTTGAGCTATTCTACAAAATGAATGTAAATTTATTACTCTACGTCTATTAGTTTCGACGTAATTGTTGAACAAAGATACCCCTTCCCAGCGGTTTCCATAGCGCACGCGACATGCGAAAATGCATTGCCTGAAAGAATCACACAACCTATTCCGATTACTATGGAAACCGCTGGGAATGGGTATCTCTGTTCAACAATTACGTCGAAACTAGTAGACGTAGAATAATAAATTTACATTCGTTTTGAAGAATGGCTCAAATACTAATAATACAATGCAAATAAAACATACCTTAACGACCTGGTTTTTCTTGTGTTGGGAAAAAACTGAAAAAGATGTGAAAAAAATCATGTTTATTTCTAATTAAATCCATTCTTACTCCCTTAAAATGTATGAAACTTGTGTCTGTTTTCTGCTTCTACTAATAGATAATTTTATTGGCTATCGCATGTTATAAAATTTTTGCTTATTAATGTTAAACTACCCACGCTATTACTTGTTTTTGAAGGAAGAGGTGAAAACTTAAAATTAAAAACTTAAATCCTTGTAAATATGCGAGAAATGGGTCAAGCCCCAAATTTAAAGTATTTTCACCGATAAAATTGTCCATAGATTACGCCCTTAAAGTTTGATCACTACAAGCCCGGACACACTGTATTTATTACGTAGTATTTTTATCATCTCAAGGAGGGAAAATATATTTTTTCTCCCCTAAATTCCGTTTTCCTTGTCGGCCTTTATATTAGCAGATCGCTTATTACATAAGCAAGTAATACGATATTGTGATATAACGGATCTTCGTTTAATTATAACGATGATAATGTTTTGTTCGTAATAATTATTAGAACACATCAAAATGACTAGTACTTATTTATAGGTACAAATTGTGAGTTGTAATGACCAAATAATTACATCCCAAAAGCTATGCTTTAATAGCATCATTATTACAATTTAATAGGTTTAAGATATTTATTTTCTCAAAAGATTACAAAAATCACTTACAGAGAAAATACAATTCAACAAAAATATTAATTATGTAAACGCGCGAACACAAAAGTGGGTACATATAAAAACATTCATAATAGTATGTAATGACACGTTAATAATTTAGACCAATAATTTATCTAACATTCTAGGACATTTTCGTCTTTTGATTCAATATTACAAGGAAAGAAAATGTACAATTAAAGAAAGTAAACCTAGAATCGTTTGTTTTTAAGCCACAAGGCTGACTTCAGACTATTTTAAAAAAAAAAAACATGTTTTTAAGTCAAAATTACAGAAGGAAGAAAATGTAAAGTTACAAATAAAACTTTATATGGATGGAACAACGTTATGGCTGGGTTGCATCATCTAAATCTAATGGTAACTTTAACGATAACTGGTGTTATTGTATGAAGTTTTACAGTTTTTTGACATTAATGTTAAAGTTAAATAAAGTAAGATGGTGTAACCCAGCCTATAACTATAAAATTTACAATAACATTGATTTCAGTTTCATTGAACTGCAATCATTTCATAAAGTCTAAAAATTGACTTAATCTCTTCTCCCACCCTCGTGACCCCGATAGATCATCTATCAACACGGTCACTCAAACGAGTTAACCTTTTACCGTGTCAGTTGACATCTCACAGATCCCTTAGGGATGAAAAATGGGGGTCCAAACTTTACGAAATTGGAATAGTTAGAAACCCTAAACGGTCCCTGAAACTATAACTGCGATAAATATGTGTCACGTTACTTCTGCTGACCCATTTGGTATGGAGAAATGTTATTGATGACATTATTGTACCTTTTTACCTTTGGACGGTAGTCAGCATTTTTTTATCGATACTTCTGAGTTTTCTGGGTCAAGTTCCCAATCCCAGAAAAAAGTAAATGGCAACCCTACAGATCTCATTTATTTTTTTATTTTTATTTTTTCCCCTTTTTATATCTGCAATCGACTTAGGTCATAATCAGATGTTTTGTTTTGCTTTTTTGTTTGTGTTCATGAGGAGGGGTATTCCAGTAAATTCTCTCCCTCGGTTTTTACTAATTCACGTAGCAATCTAGNTTCGGACGACTGACGGTGGTGAAGCCACCGTCATCGGCGTCTGAGACAGAGTCACATTCCATGTCCCTACTGGGGGCATGGGATTGGTGATCTATCACAATAGAGTGCTCGTTCGTGAGCGGGATTGGTAGCGGGGCCGAGTTAGGATCGCACATGGCGTCCTCGGGACATGACGGGGAAGCAGGCTCCTCATAGACGGAGCTTGCGAGGGATTTTGCCCGTATGTGGGCTTTAAACCCGGAGAGAACCTCCGGGTGAGTGGCCCGGAGGAACTTTAATAGTTCCTCCGTGTCCATGACATGGAGGGTGTATTCGCGACGCGTGAATCTACACCGGTTCGCAAGTCGCAACCACCGAGAAGAGCCGGCAAGAAACTCGGTGGTTATAGCGGTGTGTACCGAGTAAACGGGCGAGACAGTAAAATGTTTACTCGGTCGAGACAGTTGGGTGAGCGAGTCACATACTCGAGCGCTCGGCCGAGCACTCGGCATAATGTTCATACACACCGAGTACTCGGCCGAGAGCACTGTCTCGCCCGTTTGCTCAGTACATGTGATCAAGGCTTAAGATACTCGTATTAAACTTGAATATTGAACGAAAGACATTTATTCAAAATTTCTGTTCATTCAAAAGCATAATTATGGTCAGCCATTTCACAAAACATTGAATACAGATAATATTCTTGCACGTGTTAAGTGTTCTAATTAATTAGCGTTCCACGTGTATTTGAAATACGGTTATTATGAAATGTAAGATGGTTTCCGCACAGAGAAGCTTTATCGACGTGGTTTAACTAAACAATATAACAAGAATGGGTAGGTCTGCTAACCTCCGAAGTGAGAGGAGATAGGAGTCCGTTGGGTACTTTTTCACTGTCTGCTAGAGTCTATCTAGCAAGTTGTAGATCCTGGCTATAGAGGAGTTGAAGCGGTGTTAACGAGAGGTATAGATCCATGCCTATACGCGACGCAAAGACTCCTTGTAGGTTTCAAAAATTACTTACGGCCGCCATAAGTATTTTTTGAAACAGAGATACACTCTCCAATCATAATATAAACCGCTATGCCTGCCTCTGTGTGAAGTCCATAACCAGTGTAAGTGGGAGAAAAAACGTGATATGCACTGTCTTATTATTACACCGCCTGCCACGAGTCTTTCCGCCGATTAAAGTATTGGAATATAAGCCTTTGTCCAGCTTACAATAGAGGAAGCTGATAGTGGATGCTGCTTTGGATGGTGGACAATGAATCCATTTCAAACGGCATATCAGTCTAATAGTAGTAATCAATAAGTGCTTGAAGACGAAAGTCTACAACTAATGTGTGTTACCTGTGATGACTTATGGCTCGGAATCGTGGCCTCTCACTATAGGCCTTATTCAGAAGCTCAAAGTTGCACAGCGTGCAATGGAGAGGGCTATGCTCGGTGTTTCTTTACGAGATCGAATCAGAAATGAGGAGATCCGTAAAGGAACTAAAGTCGCTGAAAGTGGCCGTGGGCAGGGCACATAGTACGCAGAACTGACGGACGATGGGGCAGCAAGGTTCTGGAATGGAGGCTGCGTACCGGAAAACGCAGCGTGGGACGTCCACCCACAATGTGGACCGACGACCTGATAAAGGTAGCAGGAAGGCGCTGGATGCAGGCCGCTACCAACCGTGCGATGTAGAAGTCATTGGGGGAGGCCTATGTTCAGCAGAGGACGTCCTGTGGCTGAAATGATGATGATGATCAGTCTAATAAGTAAATGTAGAGTTGGCATAGTCTCTAAATTGAAAACTGCAGTCTTTAAGAAAATGTTGAAAGCCCCTGGTCTAAATAAAGCGCCTCTAATTTTAACCCTCCGTGTACGAGGTGACTAAAAGTTACGTCCCGTACCAGGTGGGGTATGACACACCCCAATATACAAAGTGATAAAATTTTCATTCAACATTTTTTTGGGTGGAATTTAATATTTAATATTGATTATTTACGTATGCTAATTAGGTTTAAGAAATGTTCTGAGCTGAAAATATGTATTATAACATTTTTATCATAAAAAACAAAAAGACACAATTTCCGTTGTTCTTGTAATTTAGGAATCAGTTTCTTATGTATAATTTTTAATTAGTGCCTTTAATTATG